TTACATTATTTTAGGAATAATTTAGCCAATATTTTTAGCATTACTTTAACAAAAGATTCACCGGCATGGTGCATTGGTTAGAACGTCTACTCTAGAGTAGCGAAGTAAGGAGTTGATCCTTACATCGCGGGTTCAAATCCCACTCTGGGACGTAGAGACCGATCTTTCGGATGAGATCGTATAAACCTACGTTAAGAGTCACAAGAGGTGTAAAACATTCCCACTCTTCAATGGTCCTGAGTCAAACAGAGTGCCAAATATATAGGTACAGAATTTAAAGTTCTCCACCTGCAAGTGATGGTATCTCCAAATGAGTGAAAAATTCTAGATGGGACGTAAAACAATTATCAATCAAACAAATTTCAACCCATGAATGTATTTTTCTCATTATGAAATACATGTGTTTGAATGTTAAGTATATCCATCCTCTTGTATTTTATGACATAAGTTTTTGTGCAAAATCTGTTATTAATTTAAAATCATACCAGATAGAAACATATCTTTTAGACCAATAACTCCTTCCCAAGATTCTTCATTCATTTTATTGTTAAATATTTGCCCCATAAAGAAAGGCCTATTATTCGCAATTCCAACATATGATATTGAAAAAAAAAATTTTTTTTCGACTTTTCAGCATCAAAATTATGTATTTGAAGCAGTGGTTACAAAATACTTTCATACTGTTTACTAAAAAGTAAAAATGTATGATTTTATTTTAATGTTGGCATATACTTGTGTTTATTTATGTCTCACGTCTTAAGAAATACGACAACCTTAAGACTATATACATTTTTAGCGATGATTTGTTGATTTTACTAGAATAAATATAAATGTAGTTTTTCTACTTTGAACCCATACAATTGTAACGATACAATGACCTTGTCATCAAATACAATTTATCATTGAGTCAAATGCTGACTGACGATTGTTAGTTCATAATTCATACACTGAATTGACAACGGATTTTTCCGTAATTTCCTGATCATGACAAGAGGCGCAGGGCGGGTGTGACCGGTCGGCAGGGGATGCTCACTCCTCCATGGCACATAATTCCACCTGCATATTCCACCATGGCATATGATTTTTTGAAGGTCCGTGTTTGCTCTGCTTCTATTTCTACCCTCCGCTTGAAAAGTGGGAGGGTATATAGTAATCAGCATGTATGTCCGTCCGTCTGTTACGCGTGAAATTTAATGAGACCTTCACAGAATCTTTATTACATATTGCCATTGTGCACCTCCTATTTTACTTTTTTATTCGACACGTATTTTAGGTTTCCCATAGCAAAACATGGACATTGTCATTATATTCTTACCTATGACGTCACATACATGGCAGCTTCTGAATGACGAGTTATTCCTCTTTAAACATAACCGTAAAACAATATATAGCAAAGCATGGCAATTATAGGAAGCGGGGGTATCATTTAGTGAGCTCATTGCTCACAGTGCCCCTAGTTATACCCCCGCTTGAAAACTGGGAGGGTATATAGTAATCGGTATTTCCGTCCGTCCGTCTGTCCGTCTAGCTGTACGTCCGTCCGTCCGTCTGTTACGCTTTGGGGTACCCATCTCTTATCCGCAACTCCTCTTATACCACTGAGTGAAATTTAACGAAACTTTCTCAGAATCTTTATTACATTTGGCCATTGTGCACCTTTTATTTCAATTTTTAATCTGACGTATATTTTGGATTTTCCAGAGCAAAACATGGACACTGCTATTATATTCATATGGGGGGCGGGGGTTTCATTTAATGAGCTCATTGCTCACAATACCTCTAGTTTGTTTTGTTTTATTGACTTTGGTACTTTGAATACTGTTCATAATCTCCATATCTTTCTTGCAACAAACAGATCATTTAAAATGTCCAAGATTCACTCATTTAATCTGAATTCCACTAATAAACAGACAGAATATGTAGATGTCTCGCAAAATGACCCAAAAGTGCTATTTTGTGAAAACATTAACATAGATCTAATGCACAGAACAAAAAGATACCCGTAAAAGTTATCCCCAAGTATTATTTTGCTTTGTAGGAATAATTCTATTCTGTTATGTCACTTTTATTTAAATATAAGCACTTTTCGTACTTTAAATTATCATTTGATAGCTTCCAAGCGTTATCGTCTAGAGTTGTCAGCTACTGCCTCAAGACTCTGAAGATTTACACAATTCCAGATTCAGAAATGATGGATGGAAAACTTAGGGTTAAGGTTAGGCATTTTTTTTTATTTCAGAAACTCTAACAAACAACCAGGATTTTGTTAAATGTCATTTTTAACTATTTAATCATCAAAGGAATTTTACATGACTTCCATACTTGTCTTTACTAGTGATGGAGATACTTGAATATTGTGTTCTACCAAGCCTCTTTATTTACAACTCACTGAAATTTAAACAGCGATGAAGGAGAATCTTCATGATTACTGTGCAATAATTTATCAAAGAAGTGGTGTAACTCAGATGCAGATGATTAAAAATGTCAAAGAACTATTGAAAAATTTGAAATAACAAAATTTTATACAAATCAATAACATAAACACTTATGACTTTTCAACTGTTTATACAACCATTTCCCACGATAAATTAAAGTCAAAGCCTTTTGAAATTAATTAATTAACAGCTGATTTTTCCAAAAAAAAAAAATGACATTCTTAATTTTAGCTCACCAGAGCCGAAGGCTCAAGTGAGCTTTTCTGATCACATTTTGTCAGGCGTCCGTCTGTATGTCCGTCTGTCTGTCTAGCTGTCTGTCTGTAAACTTTTCACATTTTCGACTTCTTCTTAAGAACCGCTGGACCAATTTTAACCAAACTTGCCTCAAAGCATCCTTGGGTAAAGGGGATTCATGTTTGTTCAAATGTAGGGCCACACCCTCATTCAAGGGGAGATAATTGGGAATTAATGAAAATTTAATGGCGTGTTTTAAAAATCTTCTCAAGAACCACTGTGCCAGGAAAGATGAAACTTATGGGGTAACATCCTCAGAAAGTGTAGATTCAAGTTTGTTCAAATCATGCCCCCGGGGGTAGGGCTGGGCCGCAATGACCGACCAAAGTTTTACATAGAAATATGAAGGAAAATTCTTTAAAAATCTTCTCAAGAATAGCAAAGCCATAATTCAGGTAGTGTGTATTCAAATTTGTTCAAATCATACCCCCGGGGGTAGTGCATGCCCAAAATGGCCGACCAAAGTTTTACATTAGTATATACAGGAAAATTGTTTAAAAATCTTCTTCTCTAGAATAGCAAAGCCATATTTCACCATATTTATAAGAAAGCATCCTCAGGTAGTGTAGATTCAAGTATGTTCAAATCATGCCCCCTAGGGGAAGGGCGGGGCCAAAATTTAAATTTTTCAATAATAAACCAATTTCTACTTTTTCCTAGCTACAGTGCTCAGGTTAGCGATGTGGCACATAGGCCTCTTGATCTTAACTTGTCATTGGTCATTAGCAAAATAATTTTATTAAAAAGCAATCTGATTGTACATGTATATATAAGTACTCTTAAGTTGATATTTAAAAGATGATCGAGATTTTTTTGAAAATATCTATGTTGTTTTTGGAGTCTAACTCCTCCAACAACTTTTTACCTTGGTTACTATTTTGCCCTATCATAAACATACTCGTATTTGTGTTCATGGGAAACAGAATGTATACAAAAATTTGTTACATGAAAAATAAAATTACTTCCTATAGTCTTCAGATCTTCATTAAGACATATAGATGACCTATTATCGATTGAGAATAATGAATTCCATTCCAATCATATGTCGACACGAAATATCCCTGTGAGTTTGAAATTTGAGTACCTCATTTCTAACATATTTGTTTCATATTTCAATAATTTACAAGAAAAAGACGTCAATGGTAATCTTTACCGAGCTTTCTGATCAATCTATCATTAAGTTTTTGCTGCCTGACATTTTTCATACTTATTGTTAAGCCATTATTTAAACGCTTAATTGTCGATGATTTTTTTCGTTCGCCCTATCATGACTAGGAGCACTCAAGCGGATGCTCACTCTTCCTAACTGGCACCTGATTCTATTTTAGTAATCCTTTATCAATAAAATATTATGTCCACGATGCTGCTTGCCCTTTATCCATCTTTTTTTCTGTTTCTTATTTTTTTCCCTATGGGCCTGTTTGTGTAAATCCTTTATCGCATCTGCCGCCCCATACAAGCTCCGCTGCACTTATTTTCAAAGATTACATTAGAAACTTTGCCTTTTCCCAGGACTGTATTATACTACTAGTTAATTTTTTTTCATATCGAAATTCACATCTTTTGAATACATTCTAAAAAAAAAAAATAAAGAAATTAGAAAAAAAAAATTAAAATAAATAATTTTAAAAACATAATTTGACAATGCAATATTTACAAACGTAAATTTCCAGCAAAACTAAAGGTTAAAATGAGAGAGAGAGAGAGAGAGAGAGAGAGAGAGAGAGAGAGAGAGAGAGAGAGAGAGAGAGAGAGAGAGAGAGAGAGAGAGAGAGAGAGAGAGAGAGAGAGAGAGAGAGAGAGAGAGAGAGAGAGAGAGAGAGAGAGAGAGAGAGAGAGAGAGAGAGAGAGAGAGAGAGAGAGAGAGAGAGAGAGAGAGAGAGAGAGAGAGAGAGAGAGAGAGAGAGAGAGAGAGAGAGAGAGAGAGAGAGAGAGAGAGAGTTAACGTTATTGAGAGAGAGAAAACACTTATATTTTCCTTAAAATTCCAAATTAATTTTTTGACTTCCTTAATCCTGAGTTGGAAAAATACAAATGTACTGAAATTACACCAATAAATTCATAGGCCTGCTTATATTTTCTGTATTTAGGAAGGCAAAAAATATATAAAATTGTTCATATCTAGAGGATAATCCCTAATATAAATATTGCCTTAAGAAAAAATAGAATGTAGTTCTCCATCACAAGATAGAGAGTATAAATGCATGAAATATTCTAAGAAAAATAAATGACATAAAGTTGTTTATACTATCTGTTTAATGAAAGTAAACATCAAAATAATTATTAACATGGCAAGACTTTAACCATTATTGAGTCTAGGTTTTGTTCCTGACCATCACTGAAGACTTCTTTAGAGCTTCATATCTCTTTTTCCAGTTATACCAAGTCAGATATTGAGGTCCAGTTACAGCAGACTGAGCATACTTCCCGTTAAGGTTTGAGTAGACACATGAATTGTACCACCAGGCCCCATATCGCTGTTTAGCACAGTCACTACTCCAGTTGTCGTTGTCCTGGTCCTTTGTTGAAAATTTCATTTCTTTGTGATAAGCCAAACTGTCACCTGGAAAAAGTACAGACGCTTTAGAAGGATGAGGTGACTTACGGTCCCCGGTAAATTAACAAAAAATTAAATGTCCAAAGAATGACTGCACTTAAAGGTACTTAAACACAGATTTGAAGTTAATATTTTCTCATTTTTTCTGTATAGTATCACGATTTATAAATTTTAATAGCATTTCACACAAAAATTTATTAAAAATCTTATTTCATTTAAGGTAGGTCCGTACTTTCAGAATTTTCTGTCAAACTGTTTATTTTTCGATTTGAAAATCTTGAATAAGTCATAATCTAACTAAAACACCCATAAAAAACATATCTTTGCAGGTTAATTTTCATGCAACATGTCTCTGAGTATGTACCTCTAAAAATTGAACAGCCAAAAAACATAGAAGTGTAACATCATATTTCATTTAGTTTTGTACCAAATCACATCCAATTATTGTTAAAACTTAAGAAAATCATAAATATTCATTTGTCAAGAAAATATTTGAAATTTCTATTTGAAAACACTAAAAAATTGATGTTGACTCTGTCAAAATCTTTCAGAGAAAAAGCTCAAAATATCTTTATTTTAAATATTCCTCAAAATCTTATATGTTTATATGCTATTTTTTCTTTATAATTATTTAGAATTATATCTAAGGTTAGTAAAAAAACATACTTTATTATGGTTGACCAGAAAAATTTTACAAAACAGGCTTTTGAACACCTATACCCCCATTTTTGGAATATCTATTTTTTCAATCATTCTTCGCAAAACTTATAAAAAAGTTAATTTAAAAAGATGATATAGGATAAAAAAATAAAGATAAATATATCTCAAGTTAGTTTGTTTAAAACAAAAATTAAAAAGCTTTAGGTCCATAAAGGCAATTAAGAATTCTCTGTCTGTGTACATACTAAATTACATATAGATCCTATGGACAGAGTGCAAAGTGGTTATTCCTATAAATAATGTACATTAAATGCTTTGTGTGCACAATGACACTTTAATTAACAAATATATACTTGCTACATTATTTTCAATCATCAAAAAAGATTTTATTTCAATAGACAAGGATAATAAAAATTTTATATTGGTGTGTAAAATTAAAACCGGATCCGTAAAAGTGTGGACCTGCCTTAAAAGTTATTAAAACTTTAAATTTTTTGGCGGGTTTGATTGACACATCCTTGCACTTTCACAAATTTTAAATTTATTCTTAATCCTTAGGAAAAGTGGCAATTTTGATGTGTTTTAATGAGAAATATTAAAACTTTTATCAAGAAAAATATTTTCATTCAGAGTAGAAATGTTAGAAAGCAAAACACCTTCACAAGTATCGTCATTCCGAACTAAGAGATGCGTACAGAGTTTAGCAAATCGAGCACACTCGTGTTATGTACACAGTTTTTGTAAACAGGGCTCGAGTTCTGTTATTGTTGATATTTAGAATTTGTTCAATCGTCACAGTCTGCTTACCACAACTGCACGGACTGACAGTATATTGTATTTAATTTGCTTTCGAACTTGCCTACTCTGAATTTTCTGGATTATAGTATTAATAATTTTCATTTATATAAAACGAGATTGCCACTTTTCCTAAGGATTTAGAATAAAATTAAATTTGTGAGAGTGCAAGGATATGTCAATCAAACCCGCCGAAAAATTTGAAATTTCAATATCTTTTAAACGAAATAAGATTTTTAATTAATTTTTGTGTGAAATGCTATGAAAATATATAAGTCGTAATATTATAGAGAAAATAATAACTTCAAATCTGTGTCCAAGTACCTTTAAGGACGTAATTTAGAACCTTTTCGGCTATCCACTGAAAGCCTCTATAATTTCTATAATTACATAAAACGCTATTGAAAAGAGCATGTTTAAGCCATAAATTCCGAAAATTGAACTGAACCACTTTAAATTTTAAGGTTGCAGCAAAGGGGCGGAGACATTTAAATCGCATGGAAATGGTTCATAAGCACATGGTTTTCCATATTTAATCTACATTATATATGAAAAAGGCGGAGAGGAGGGTTTCGTGTTCATTGTGTACAAAAAATAAATGATTTATAACCATATATATATTTTCATTAATATGTATCCACGTAAGTATGTAAAGTAAGTAAAGAGTAGAACATTAAGAGAAAAAAAGTTCATGAAAACAAACACAATTGTGATAAATATATGTATGCATTTTGTACGCTTAGGTTGGTAGTGTCTGTTGTCAGATTTATTGGTAGATGAAAATGACACTGAAATACATTTTTATCAGTTTTCTGAACATAATGGACTGTCTTAGCATAAATGAAAAATAATTTGCAACCTGTCTAAATAGGATAATTTGAAATAAATACAGTGTACATATGTGGTAAATCCATATATGACCATGCCATTTGATTATTAGCAAAGTTAATTTTCAAAAAAGTTTTTATCGGTATTCAGAGTACAAAGGACAATGCATTTTAAAAAAATGCATTTCGGCTTCTACATTATCAATCACTGCATAATTTTCTCTATCTAACGTTCTTTTAAAATTGGAATGCTTAAAATACAACAACTCATGTATTAATTATTTGCTGTCAAGCAGCGAATTAACTAAATCATAAAATAATTATGTGTTCGTACCTACAATGTATTAAAAAAAATGACATTTCCACTTTATCTTAATCATATCGAATAATAATTGTGGACTTAGTAGTAACGTAAAAATAAAATAATTTTTTTTTTTTGGTGTGATGGTGGGCTCCTACCCTGACCTAAAACTAGTTGGGCCCCCGTTTTAAAAATTTCTGGATCCGCCACTGCTTTATGTACAGCATGTAATCAGCAAAATAATACCTCTTTGCTTTAAAATACCCCGAACAAAAACACTATAGTGAAAGAAGTCAAAGGAAACTTTAAAACGCCAATAAAATGTACGCAAGGATCTTCAATATTTTGAAGATGTAAGTACGTGTAGATATAAGAAGAATTTTCCAACGACTGATACAATGAAAGCGTATCGAACATTTGAATGTCACGTGAGAAAAGTGATTATAATATCAAACGTGTCACATGGGCTGACACTCGTAACCTGCTAATTTAATAGCTAACTCGAGCGAAGTTTGGGTACATTTTTTTTTTAAATTAGATATGAGCCGCAACTTGGCCAACATTGTCCTTTGGATATGTATAAGTTTTAGTTAAAATACACATTCTGTGCAAATGAGAAAAATGGCCAAGTTGCGGCTCGATGTAAACAATGTCGTTGAAAACTGGTATGCATATGAATAACAATAGAAATGAGACAAAACTGTTCGACCCCCGTCTCAAAAGCTAGTGTCGCTCGGTATTATTGAATACTTTCATGCAATATAATATACCAAAACCTGCTCTTAAGATTTTGCTTAATACCTATAAAACATAAATTTTATGACATTTGGAATTTTATTTTGCGCAAAACATCGGGATCCAACTCTCATAGCTTAAGTGCAGTCATTCTTTTACTAAAAGTTTTATATGTAACTATATTCATTGATATGTGTACCTTATTGAAATACTTTTTTTAACAAAAAAAAAAAAGAAATGTGGTTTGAAAGATATAAATCTTTTATTTGGGTATGTGTATCATGTTTACATCCAATTCCCATTGAATTTTGACCCCACCCCTCTGTTTATAGTAAAATCTACCTATATTTGAAAGGAGAAAATTGTATCTTACTGCGCTCACATGCCATTTAAAAAAAACGTAAACTTTAGCTGGCCTTTCCCATTATGAACAGATCGACAGATCTGGATTTTCTGACGTAAAAATAAATTCATATGCTTATCAAGGCACCGGTGATACTTTCTAAACGACCAATCGGCTAATTGAAGTGCGTTACGAGTGAGTACCACAATAATACAAGCAAGGGATATTTCAAAAAAGGATTTTGAACTAAAAATGTTATTTAATAAGTTTCCTAACATTTAAAATGTTAGAATATATCTATTCAAAGCTCGACCATTGTGAATTCTGATTGGATGCCCTTAACATCATGGAACAGCGTGAGAAGTGTAAAATCATATCAAAGCAAATACCTGCTGTTCCAGAAAACCCAGACACAGTGAGTTTGTATTTGCTGGCTTCGTTCCCTACATAAAATTTGGAGTAATGAGCGTATGCTTTGTCACCATTAAATCGTTGTAGCTCAACCCGGAGTTCTTGGTCCTTGTTCTTTGTCAACTCATAGATTGCGTCATTTCCTTTGTAAAAAAGAAGTACCTGTACACCTTATATTTTTGAATTCTAAAGTGTTGTTTATATCTGTTTATGTTAAACATATTCTTGACAAAATGGCGTTGGTCATCAAAAGATTTCAGTTTTAAAATTGTCGAATTTTAAATTTATTTAGTTTCTACATGGAGCACCTCTATACCTTATACAGGCATCACGTGAATAAATTATATTCCATTGTACATGTCTGCTTTTATCTATTTTTGTATCAAAATCAAGAAATATGTGTTGCACACAAATTCCACTTATAAATTTAAAAAAATTTTGCACAAAAAGTATTTTGTTCATTGTGTGGGAAAACTTAATATTTACATGTAACATGTTTTAATGAAATTTCCTTAACACTTTTTATACCTTAAAGACAAACGTTTGATGAAAAATCGTGATATTTTCTTGTGTTATACTCTATCGTAAAAATCCTGTTTCATTCATGATTTCACACGTGCGGATCAAGAAATACTCCATGAGATAGAGGAGGGCGTTCACAAAGCCAAGATGTACATAACTTATTCAGGGTATTTTTATGAAAAGTACATATGAATTCAATAAATCAATATACCCCCGTAAGCCCTATGGAATCCAAACCCTTTACCCCAACGCCGCTGTAGATATTTTCTTACTTTATAGGATGACCTTATTATTATTCAAAAACAGTTAAATGAAAATGGATTCTAAAATTATATTAATCATTATTAAAATGAAGATATTATTGTTTCCTGTTCAATTTCATAGCTATACGAAACTAGAACCGATTCATACATGTAGAAATTGAAATTATTTCTTTCAAAGAATTTTATTTCACTTCTTTAAAATAACTGAAATGTTTTTTTTTTATACACATATTATAAGAGATGCCTTATAATTTATATGTTACATAAACCTTTCTTACCAATCCAGTAGTTTTTAGAGGCATCACCAAATCCTTGTTTATACTCTGTCCATGTTCTGTAAAAATCTGTAGTGCCGTCCTTTCTTCTTTGTATTGCCTAAAACATATAACATGTTTGATAAGGTTGTCTTTTTGACTTGATATGAAGTAGGTTTCATTAACAAACCCGTGCATTCGTTTAGTGAATTCGAGCATGTCCCGATTGGATGTACATGTAACATACCGTCCAACCCCCTCCTTCTGTTGTCATGTCACAGTACACTTTCTTCTTCCGTTTTCCATCCGGATAAATTTTGTATACACCATCCTTTCCTTTCCGACCTGGATTTTTCTTTAATATGGTTGCACAATCTTTATACTTTTTACCTTGAAAAGGAGTCTAATGCACTGTATGTTACAGGTATTTGCAAATAATATAAAAGTACTGTTTGAAAATAAGATGAGAACTGTTTTTATGCTGTGAAATTTTTAAGTAATAGTATCTGTCTTGCAAGAAAACAACGATAACATTTTTACAAAAGGAACTGTAAGATATTGAGAAAAAACCATGTTATTCTATTACACAGACAGAGTTAGTACCTTTGGCATAAGGACTTATTACACACTACTTAACAAAAATAATTGACCGTTTTGAAACACACCCTTGGATATTTTCGTCACATTATATGTAGAGACGACATTCACTTTGAAGGAAACAGGATGCACAGTATTAACATGGGATCCGGCCAGTTTCCAAAACCAGCGAGAACTCTGCAGATGTTGATGAAGTTTAGCTGCAATTTTAATAAAAAAAACATTTGAAATTATTTTTCAAGACTATCTATGATTTATTTATTAAGAATACCGAAAAAGAGCAAGATTTAAAAGTTTGTATTTCATGGTGACTTAAGGCAGGTATCCACGGCAAGATTTGAATTATAATATCTGTATTATAATATAATATCGTACTGTGTATACACTCTTAATACAGTGTATCATAAGATTTTTCGAATCTTATAAAACTGTATTAAGAATAGAGCAATGCTCTATTTCCTAATACAAGTCTTAACTTACCTATCACTTTCGACCAATGAAATGTAATGACACTAGGGGTCATCCTATTTTTATCAATACTAAAAAACACATGGTAAATAATAATGATCGACTTTACTAGTAAAGACATCGAAAAACTCGTGGCTTAATGGGAAGGGGAAACGGACTTGTGGAAAATATCAAGCAGTTCATAGTACGATGATAGACACTGCTATCAGAGCCTCATCCTTCATTTTTATTACCTTGACAGAGAGAAAAATAAATTATAAGCAATGAATTTAATATCTACCCATTTTATACGGTATAAACTGGGTTGGAACAGCTTATGCTTTTTTATAAACCGTAAACCGGTAAACTGCCCCAACACAGTTTATGCCGTATAAAATGGATAGCTAACAGATTCATTCGTTGGATATCAATCACTTGTATTCTAAGAAATATTAAGGGTTCAAATCTTCGAAAAACTACTAAAGTCAAGTTTCATATTCAATCGAGGTATAAAAATATTTACATTAGTTAATTAAAGTAAACAGAAACTCATAAGCTCACAAAAATACTTAATACCTTTTCACGCCCTTTTTTCAAATACACTACAGGGAAAATACATCCCGTAAATCAATAGACTTTTTTTTTTACAAAGAGAGATAAAAGATCTCTTATTTTATTAAAATGTGCTTCAAAAACCTGTGTTAAGAAAATATTACTTTAAATTTTTATAGATTTTATCATTAAGAGCGATTTGTGAAGATTTCTGAAGAGGGCATAAAAACATCTTGAATATTCCTCAGACAAAAAGTATAATTTATATTGTCTTTTTTTCAGAATCTAAAATATTATCAATCTTAATAATTCTTATTTGCAAACATTTAAACATTAAATTGTTCAATTAGATAAAATAGTAAAGTGAAGAAAACAAAAAACAATGTTTTGACATTTCGGTTTGAAATCTCACCTGAAACGCAAATAATTCTTATTTGCAAACATTTAAACATTAAATTGTTCAATTAGATAAAATAGTAAAGTGAAGAAAACAAAAAACAATGTTTTGACATTTCGGTTTGAAATCTCACCTGAAACGCAGAAGAAAGGATGAAGTTCATAATTTTTTATCTTAATATTGTGTTGTTATTGTTTATTTTTCTCATGTACAATTTTTTTTATGTAAAAAAATGTTAAGTATAAGAGAATAATCTTCTTCCATCAATTATATAAATATACAATGTACGTATCAACAAGTCAACTTTACAAGTAATATTACAATTTGTCATGAGTTTTAACACACTGCAAACAATTATTTCAAGAAAAAAGATTGATTTTCAATATTTTGGAAAAATATTATTTTAAAAATTTGAATCATTAAATCATCAAATGAAAATTGTATATCATATACCTTTGAATGACGGAGGAACTTTGTCGCCATTCGAGAAAACCGAAAAAAGAACAACACAAAAGCATATCTGGAGTAGAGTCTTCATACTGTTCAATCCGCAGTACAACCATGATTTGTTTTTTAAATAGTACGTTACCAATGCAATCTCATCATTATTGAGAAAGGAGATACCATTTTCATGCAGGAGAAATCGATTTTTGGACATTACCTTTACACCCAAAGTTATACAAGATAGTATGAAAACATTACCTTTACACCTAAAGTTATACAAGATAGTATGAAAATAGAATTGTATTGAATTAATTTGCCTTCTAATTAAAAATTATTATTTTTTTTTTATTTATATTGCTAAGGTGAATAAAGAACACCAACCCATAATCCAGGGGGGCAATGCTGTATTTAAAGGATTTCATTTTCTTTATTAATTTTTTTTTTGCACAAAAATAATTTATTTGCAAATAGTATTAAAATTTTAGAGAGGGGGGATTGATGTATGGAAGACATAAAATATTATCTTACGACATGAATTGTAGCATGTATATTATTACATTAAAATGTGGGCGTAGCACGGCTGTCGTCATCACACAATGGTAAACATATATATAGTTCCCTCTAAAATTTCATCAAAACTATTTTTTCAACAAAAAAAAATGTACAACGAAGATGGAATAGTTCATGTTCCTTTCTTTTATGATATTCCTTGCTTGGCCCACCTAAATTAACAAGTTAATGGTGACTGGAATGTAAGATGTAAGGTCGCTTCTAGTGATTGCCTAGTTTGATTGGAAATTCACAAGATATATTCAAACTTTGACTTGTGAGAAAGAATTTCGATAAGCAACTTGATTTTCTATGGATCGATACTCATGTTGGATTGAATAAAAATCAACAGCATGCTTGGTATGTCTTTTTTTAAAACTACATTAACATAATGACTGTTTGATATGAATGCATTTTGATGACAGAACCTTCAGACCAAGGAACGTTAACTGGCAAGATTGGAAATATACAGCTTACGTCATTTTTATCTGTTACAATCATTTATATAAAACATTCAATGAAATGGGCGGGTACAATTCGACGCGGACGCGGGGAAAACAAAGGATTGAAATTCTAGTTTGAAATTCATTTTCAATCGACCTGAACTGTTTTCAAAAGCAAAGTGTGAATGTACATGTATGATCCAAAAGACAAATAATTTCAATTCCCAAATACATGTTGGTTGAAATTATTATTATAATGATATGAGTTTTTAGCCTATAATATATTATTATTATTAATATATTATTAAGAACACTTGAAAAAGTCATAGAAGACATTTTCAGAAGACTGCCATATGATTCTAGAAGGGGGGGGGGTCAAAATTTGTCGAGTCAGATCATGCATTGTACCAAATAATTTTTGGAATGACAAGAGCTTTTTTAGTTTTGTCTTCAGTGAAAAATGATAACAACTTACTTATTTATTTTCGAGATAATAAAGCCCCCTCGAAACACAAAACACGTATACATGCATAAATTATACCAAACAGAAATCAAATACTTGTCCCTTCATATATTCCTTGAAATTTTGGACAGAAATTTCCTTTTTATTTATTATTTCCAAACTATATAAATTGAGATCATTTGTTATCTGGGTCAGTCAGTAATAATGTGCCTTCTAGCGTAGTTGAGTTGGATTGAAAATGAATTTCAAACTCTAATTTCAATCCAATGTTTTCCCCACTTCCGCGTCGAATTGCACCCGCCTATTTCATTGTCGTCTATCATTGAATGGTTTGATAGTAACCGATAGAAATGAAGTACGATGCATATTTCCAATTTTGCCAGTTAATGTTCCGCAAACTTGTACAGAGACGTGTAATATTACTGTTAGTAAAACTAACTTTTCTTTCATGTAATTATGATTACTTTAGATTACATTAAGTTTTCTTAATGTTCAAGGACAGCAGAATGTTTCTATTCAGTCTGCTCTTTTTGTCCCCCGCTTTCGCGAAAGCGAAGGGACATTAAATCTCATTCGTCTGTCTGTCTGTCCGTCTGTCCGTCAGTCTGTCAGTCTGTCAGTCTGTCCGTCACAAAAACTTTAACCTTGCCCATAACTTTTGATTTAGTGGAGCTATGACTTTCATATTTCACATGTGTATTACTTGTGACAAGACCTTTCTTTGGGTACCACTAAATTTGACCTTTTGACCTTGGAGTTTGACCCACTTTTACACAAAAATTCCAACATTTTACTTTGGCCATAACTTTTGAATAGTAGGTACTAGGGCTTTCATATTTCACATATGTATTGTATGTAGCAAGACCTTTCATTGGATAAGAACAACCTTGACCTTTTGACCTTGACCTTGGAGATTTACGTACTTATGAAAAAACTTTAACCTTGACCATATCTTTTGAACGGTGAGGACTAAGGCATTCATACTTCACAAATGTAATCTTTGTGAGAAGACCTTTCATTGGATACCAATAACTTTTACACTTTGACCTTGACCTTGGTGTTTTAACAACTTTCAAAAAACTTCAACCTTGGTCATAACTTTTAAACAGTAGATACTAGGACTTTATATTTCATATATGTATTCCTTGTTGTAAGACATTTCATTGGATACAAACAACCTTGACCTTTTGACCTTGACCTTTGAAATTTATGTACTTATGAAAAAACTTTAACCTTGACCATAACTTTTGAACTTTTTAAAAAAAACTTTAACTCTGTTCACAACTTTTGAACGGTAGATACTTGGACTTTTATATTTCACATATGTATTCTTTGTGGCAAGTCCTTTCATTGGATATCAACAATTTTGACTTTTTGACCTTGACCTTAAAGATTTGCGTACTTATGAAAAAACTTTAACCTTGACCATAACTTTTGAACAGTAAGGGCAAGGGCTTTCATACTTCACATATGTAATCCTTGTGAGAAAACCTTTCATTGGATATCAACAACTTTGACCCTTTGAGCTTGACTTTAGGCCAAGGTGGGTACTCAGTGCCCACCTCTACTGGGCACTCAGTACCCACTTTTGAAAACGGTGGGTACTGAGTACCCACCACCTGTTTGCAGCGTTTAGGGGGGTCCCAGATCCCAACTCGGAGTGTGGAGCAATAGTACTCGACTAGGGGAACATTTTGGGATACTTTTGGAAACTCTGGCCCCACCCCTCCGGACTGTAGGGGGGGTCGGGACTGAAAATCAGGGAATTTTTAAAGTCGTCATATCGTAATGTGTGAGGTGTCATTGGATAGGTATGGACGAGTACATTACAGATATATAATTTTTTTTTCGGTAGGACGTCCGGTTCGTCCGCAAGTCGGGTTGGAAAGTCCGGGAAATTCATACGCCGAGTCAAAAATACAAGTATTTTGGCTATAAAATTCTTATTTATTGAGTTAGTGCAAAGTTCTTTAACCATTTTCTTTATCTCATTGAGACCAACAATTATATATAAAAAAAATTATTGTATCTTTAAAAATAAAAATTTTATGAAGTTATTTCCAGTATTTTTGGACTTAGAAAATTTTGTCGCGAATGAAAAACATACTCATAAGGATGTAAAACTTTTATTTTTTAAGCTAGGTAAAAGTTTTTTATATCATTTTCTTCGTCTTTGAAAGACAAAGAATTAAATCTAATCAGATCTCTTGTAAGTTGGAAAATAAA